TAGCCATGAGCGTAGTATTATTTAGCCACTTAATTGATACACCATAATTCACAGTTTCTACTTCAATAGATTATCGATATAGTTCGACCATTATCCAATGTCTTAATAGGTCATAGATCCCTGGTAAAACTAGGATATATTCATTTTGGAATAATTCATTTGTGAGAACTAATTTGCAATCACTTAAACCGTTCGTGGATATTTAGTTCGTGAATATATATATATATATATATATATATATATATATATATATATATATATATATATATATATATATATATATATATATGCCATAGACATTTCTGAAACTATAAGTAGAATATCTGGTCAATCTATCAGTGTTAATATGTTGTTGTCTAGGTCCTTCGACTAATAATCTAGGATTTAAAGCAACGATACATTCAATCAGTACATCAAAAAAAGTGTGAAATTCACATAATAAACTTCACCTCCAGTTATTACCATTTAGATAGTTATAATTTCTGAAGCTAATTGACCGGTAATTAAAAAGCTGTGAATTTTTGTATCAGTTGACTAAACTACACCATATAATGGAACTTTATTAAATTTGAAAGTTTAAAACAATATTAGATAATTGTAATAACCGATGAAATAATTCATCTAGATTCATGGTCATCAATAAATGAATCTACTTCGTGGTAGGGCTAACTTCACAAAACCACATGAGTTTCTCTCATCTCGGTAGTCATCTAAATTGATTTTTTAAGCTAGAGGTTAAGCGCTCACGTGCGACACTGATATGTCCTGGGTTCGAATCTCGTGAGGCGGGATCGTGAATGCGCACTGCCGAGGAATCCCACAACAGGACAAAACGGCTGTCTAGTGCTTTCAGGTTTTCTATGGTGTTCTAGCTTCAATTAACTCATGATCGCAACTATTTAAATTATTATAATATCCACAAAGACGCTTTCTGATGGAAAATAAATCAACTAATCTGATTATTATGTGACGAACTAAGTAAAAATCAGAACTAAATAGAAAGAGAAAATGAGTTAGTAGGTTTATCATAGTTTGAGATTTAGAGTAATTTCAAAAAATCTGTTTGCACCAATCAGTTGATTTGTCCTCATGGCACCTAATGTTTATAGTCATTGATTTATATTAATCTATAGATCAAGCTGGCAAATCTACAGTTGACATTCAATTATCTTACATTGTAGTTCTAATTCCTACTTTTACTCGGTTGTTTGTTTTCATCAGATTCTCATTGTAACGCATCACATCACGTGGTACAATGAGCAATAGTTTACCTAATCAACTAAAATCATGCTTCCCGAAGATTTCAAAACAAAGGATAGCTATCTGTCATGGTGTTTTATTCTTTTGATAAATAAATTACTAATTAAACATCTGTCACTCTTTTTTCTCGAAAAAAATTTCTCCTAGAATTATAACGATAAATTCCGCCTTATATTCATCAAGATTAAATTTCAAAATTATTTATCTACAATCATCATCAATAAACCACATAATTTTCTTGTATCAGGTTGGTGAATATTAATGTGAGTATAACATAACAGATAAGAGAACACCCCCACACGCACGTGTAATAAACGTATATCATGTTGACTAGTTGCTATGGTGTATATTTCAATTTTAAAATAATCTACTTCTTCCATTTTTCTGTACATACTTCCTTCTAGTTGAAATTGATCATGAGTAAACATAATGTAAAAATTGTTTTATTGTAACCATGTTCCAATCATGATCATATAAAACATTGTACGTATACAACAAAAAATTTGTTTATAATTAATTTATGAATAAAAAGGTCTGTGTAAAATCCATTCAGTTCATAGATCATTTTGACAAATAGCCAAACAGTTTCATCTAAGTTTCAACAGAATACTTATTACCATTAAGAAAAAAGTATACGAAAACAATAAGATTGTAGTAGTAAATAATTCCCCAAAATAAGTAGCTCTGTAAGTCTTCGACATTGGATGCTAACCACATTAGTTTTAATGGACTCACCTAGATGAAGGTGCTCGGTCATGCATCCGCACCAGATCACGAATGAGAACGCCGTGCTCGACATCCTCTGCAATCGCTAGCCAGTCTAGATCAGTCGATATATCGATAGCCTATCAAATATATCTTCGAACCTCCTCGCTCCTGTCTTTTGATTTCACTTGGTGGGTACGATTCATACTAGGTGTTACTGGCTAAAGCGCTGTCAAACTCCAAATACCTGTAGCATCCTCAATATCGAAACATCTTTCACTTATGATTTACAAACAGTATCAGTTGACTGAGTCACTGACAACGGCAACATTGAACATTGCGTATATTCGCTCTGAGTTATCAAACTAATCTATTGATACGTTATTTATTCCAAAGTTATAAAAGCTAATTTAAATATTTCACATTACTTATAATTGTAGGTATGAATTTAACCAGAAAAATGTTAAAATTCTAAGTAATAACTAAAGTTATGTTTCATGGTTCTTAGTACTGATTGAATAATACCGATTAACTAACTAACGAACAATATGACTACTAATCTAAGTGGTTCTGTATCATGACGCATTTGTTTGGTTGGAGGCACTCACCAAAAAGTTTTGGACTTTTAAGTGTTAGATTGGTGGTCACTCATCAGCAAGATGAACTAATACTGAATTTGAAATTCAACCTCGTGTCATCCAGCGCCATAACTGTAAGCACCACCACTAACATTATTCGGGTCGTGACTAACCTATAGAACTTAGGTATTTATGTAAAACTGGTAACTAAGACGTAGCCTACTTAGGTTCAAACCGTCCTAACGATCACCTTCAACTACACCACACTATTTTTTTATAGATTTAAATACCCATTGCTCAGCACTTAATTGATAGAAAAATGATTTGATATATATGTCTAAGAGTTATTTATTCAAACCTACCAGCTATAGTATAATATACTTCAATTCATTATAAAGACCATGGATAAGTTTATACGTATACAAATATAAAACTAACTATATTAATATCATCTAACATAATACTTGATAGATTGGTCATTATTTATTTTTAACCTTTTTATATTTGTTTTAATTATCTTTACTTAAAGTTATAAATTATCATTTCAAGACCTTTTTTCTGAATAGATCAAATGACAAGCAATCATGATGTCTGTGTTCCACTTATCTTTTTTTTAAATGAAGAAAATTAGGTGAAAACATGAAGTATTTTAAACATCTTATATGAAAACTTTTTATTTGGGTTAAATATGACACGTTGTTATGCTATTTTAAACTATTATCATCGATTGAAAGGATTTTTTTTTGAATTTTTTTCTCAACCATTTAATTTTGTATTTATACATATAAAAATAATTTAGCACAGCATAGCAACATGTCTTAATCTATTCAACACGTATACTATTGTGGGTAGGTTAGATTAAATGAGGATTAAAATTTTTTTCATGAAAGGAGAGTATTAGATATCTTTTTATTTTCTCTATCATTAACTATTTGAATAAATTTCATTTCATTTAAATCGATATAAAAATACTCTTAAGAACTTTCTATTTAAAAGATAATTTATTGATAAATTAACAATTGGTCAAATATTGTTGTATAAAAGCTTTTCGTAAAGGAGTGATTGATAGATCTATCCATATGCGTGTGTGTACTATGTGTGTGTATGCGATAGAGAGAGAGAGAGAACATCTATCAGTCATCTATATTTCATCCATACTAATCTATCTTTACAAAAATCAGTAATTTATTTCAAGTGAACGAATCCATATAATGATAAAGTTACTCACTTAAACTTAATAAAATAATCTCGAGAGTGATATGTACATATATAAAATCTAAAATTGATTATATTTAACTGTTGAATATATTCAAATTGCAGATAATAAGTTCTTTTATGCAAACTTTGAACTCATTAGAATGAAAAAATGCCTGGTTTCAACTATGAGAAAAACTCAATTTAGCTTTCTCTAGATTTTAAGTTATCTTTTTTTGTAATATCCAACAATTTAAAGTCTAATTACCTTGTAGAGTGGATCCATGGTGATTTGGTGAATAAAATGCATAATTATAACTATTAGGTCATATGTTTGATTCCTACTCCATCTAATTCGATTTAGAAAGCTAAGTTGTATCATTAGTCTTCGCGTAAACAGTGTGTCTTAAAGTCAAGTATATAAGCATGTAGCTAGTTGATGAGTTACATTAAGTTTAGATGAACTAATTAATCTAAGAAAGTTATCATTATATCTTTACACACACAAAAATATAATTCCACATATCAACTAATAATAAGTGTTTTTCATTCTATTCATCTTGGAAAATTCAATTCTACTGACTAATTCAGAAGTTATCCTTTATTGGTTTATATGTGTTTGCTTGACAAAATTTTATCAAAGTACAATTAATAAAAAATATGATAATACTATGAAAAAAAAATCAGCTTTCATGTATTTGTAAAGTTTAGAATTCTTATGGAAATTTGTTCTCTGAGCTGGATGGTTTGTTCATGGAGTTTTCATCGTTCTTCTGAACGATATCATCAGCACTTCTACCTGAACGATGAAAGCTCCATGAACAAACCATCCAACTCAGAGAACAAAACTCCATTAAAATTATCTACTTGAGCTACAAATCTTCCCTACCAGTTTAGAATTTCCTTATGAATAATCTTTTTTAAATTTTTTTTACAATGAAAATTTATTATAATAGAAATGTCATTAGTTTAAATCTGATATTTAGTTGATTATAAAGTTAACTATAAATATATAAATAAAGAAGTCATAACATATTTCATTAATGGAAGAAAAATAAATGTTAATTTTGCAGTTGCTAAGATACAAAGAACTTTGGTTACCAATTTTAAGTGCATCTATTTACAATTTATAAATTAAGATTTATTCAAAAAATATATATGGGCCAATATAGATGTCTATCAATAGATTTCGTTTGTTTGTTTTTTCATCTATAATTGTTAACAAATAGAAAAGTAACTAAAATCTGTTTAATTCTATTTCAGAACTAACTCATCAGTAGTATATTTGAATGAATTATTTACAGATGGTTATGATATTGAGAATTGATTTGATAAATTACTGAAATAACTAAGTTGACCATTCACATAATTTTCTCAGATTGTAGTGAATGGACATTCAGATGAAGAAAACTAATTTATTATATAATGCACAACAACATAGTGATTTAGTAAAATGTAAAAATCATACATCAAATAAATCATTTGCACATATTCTTTGATTTGTCTCTTACAAGCTTTATTGTCCTTTCATTCCTGTTTCTACCTTAATTGCTTTCAGTTCCCTCTTCTCTTCTCTTCATTTCAATCTTGTCAACCTTCTAATTGCAGATACTCCACTGGTGTCACATGCTACTTATAAGTGCAAACATAAGTAGCATACATCACAATATGGGTTTATCTATAAATTATTAACCAAATGTTTAATTTATAAAATAAACAAACCAATTCAAAAATCAAAACAATCAAAAATCGTCAATCGTAACAAAGATGATCAACTACTTGTCTGATCTGTTTAATCATTCCATTTCTGTAAGTAATCAACTGCAGATTGGAAAAAATTCCCTTCGTTTTAATATTAAATTTCTTCAAACTTTAAAAATACGATAAGTTTATTAAAAGTTTCACATAAGTTTTAACTTGGTAGAAGAGAGCTTCATTGCCTCATAAAATTCAATGACGATGTATATGCATTTCTATTACGACGGACCGTTCCGTAAAGTCGTACATGTAGTACAGAAGACAGATGCAATCCAAGTGAGAACCAGAGTCAAACAAGACTACTTACTCTCCGTTTTTCTTTTTCTTCTGGTGATTGACCAAATTATGAAGATCTCCACATTTGACAGGGAGCACAGGTATAATAGATAGCTTGGATACAACGAGACGATTTGGATATTGCAGATAACCTGGCCCTTCTATCACATACACACTAACAAATGCAGGTCAAGACAGTCAGTGTAGCGGCAGTCGCTGCATCAGTATACGTCAACATACACAAAGGGAAAAGCAACATCCTCAAATACAACATGGAGAACATCAACCAAACCAATCACACTTGATGGAGAAACTCTGGAAGAGATGGAAACTTTTCGCGTACCTAAGTAGTATCATCAATGAACGAGGAGAATCTGATGCATGCATAAAGGCAAGGATTGGCAAAGTAAAGGCAGCGTTCCCACAGGTGAAGAACATATGGAACTCAAAATAACTGTCAACCAACATCAAAGTCAGAATTTTTAATATGAACGTTAAAACAGTTCTACTGTACAGAACTGAAACTTGGAGAACTACTAAAACCGTCATCAAGAAGTACATGTATTCATAAACAATCTTCTACACAAGATGCTCAAACCAGAACTCACTAAGAATATTGGATAAATGTTTACGTTATATTACAAACTAACTGAAGGTGAAAATTTAGGTTTTTACATTTGAAATTAGTAGTTGAATAATAATATTCATCTCGTTACGAAACCGTTAATTTATTACTATTTCTGGTCGTTTGTGTTTACCATTAAATAATCCTTAGATGGAACAAAACAGTTCTCCAGTGCCTTCCAGTTTTCATCAATTCTTCGAAATATGCAAGTTATGTTTAGAGTAAAAAATTGGTCGAATAGCTTAGGAAAAAAAACATTTTTAAAAAATGCTTTTTGAAGCTAAAACGTCAGAAACTATTTTTTGGCTAATCAAGATTTTCAAAGAACTCCTAGAAAAATCTATAATCCAACTCAATACGTTTTTCGCTAATCTAAATGATTACGTACCAATGCGTCACAAATAACAATCTTATTTTCTGAAAAATTCTATGGCTCACAGATCCCTTTAAGTCACATTCTCTTTGTTCACGCTCTATTTTTGTGTAGGGTCTTTGTATCGAGAAATTCAGATGTCTATAAATCAGTTATGAAATCAGTATCATAGGTGTTCAGTGTATTCAACCTACCAAAAAATAAGTAAATAGAGTGATTTTCATGGTAAAATTATAGTATAGGGATGAGCTGATCATAATCGAGAATGTGACATTTAGATTATTACGAGACATTCGAATATCACGACTAAAGAGCAATAGAAATACCTTTGTATACTGCTCATAACGTTGTAAATGACAACAAAAAATTATTTTTTTATTATCAGGGGGTAAAATTGCTGGTGTTAAACATATCAGATAATTTAGTTCTATCTCTGTAAACTACATACAACAGGCAAACGCAAACTATCCCGAAAAAACTTACCCTAAATTTTTAATCCTGAACTAGTGGTACAATCTTTTACAAACGAACTAATCAGATCGCATCTCTTCAATTTTTGCACAAAATTCATTCATCCATACGGCCATAGATCACTTACATATTGTAGCTGATATCGGTTCGTGATGGTGAATCTAATTCTAAACAGAAACAAGGTAGGAAGGACTCCCAAAACTCTATTTGGATCTTTTTGAGGGCTAGAGAAGATGAATATTTTATATTCATAAGGACGAATTGATATGTTGTATTTTTTATGATTTACAGATAGCGTGACATATAAAAGACTATAATAGATTCATTATTTATGTAAAATCTGCTTACATTTTAAAATACTATTATTTTCTCCGTTAATTATCCATTCATAAAAACTGTTTTATAGTCAAATAAAAACTAGCTAAAAATCATGGTTCTTTTAAGTCTATCCTTTATAACACGTTTAAAACCTTACACTATTAACTTCTAGTTTCAATTAGCAAACTTCCTAAATCTAAAGCTTGCGTTACTGCTGATTGTGATCGATTGCTTTCTATATTCAGCGTAAGTATATTACGTGTTCTTACTGAGTTGTTAGTTTACTTTTTCTCCCATTCATTTCTCTTTCGGATTCTCCCTTGCACGCTGCTCTTTATATTCAACCATTAAACAAGATACCTTTAGGCTAAACACAAACCTACCAAATACTAAACGTTACACCCTAAAGTATGTTTCTACCGTTTTCATGAAGTGAAATAAAACAAAATAGAACTAGTTTATTTTTATTCAAATAAGTTCAGAACGAAAGTTCAAATTCAAGTAAAAACAAAAAAAATTAACTATACACACCAATTTATTATCTATATAAACCACTGGATTAATTTTAAAGATAAAAAAATACCCAACAACACTATAGGGATACCAGTATTCTTTTCAACATTTCACTTGTACTCATAGAAAAAAAAAAAAAGAAATTTGACGGTGGATGTGTTGATTTTAAATTGTATAGTTAAATTCAAACAAACATGATAGAAAGATAACTTGTGGACTTGAACACAAAGAAAGAATAAAACAAGAAAAATAGAGTCAACTATAGGATATAGACAAACATGTATGTACAAGTGTATCAACCACGTGTACGTTAGTTACTAATATATAATTATTATTTATGATGTATATAGATATTAGTGGTTTCTGATATTGTTTTGTTGTGTTACCTTAGTAACAAATGTACAATATCTATGACAAAGAGTAATTTATAATGAAAGCTTAAAGAATTATAAAATTAATGTTTGTTTGTCTACTCTGGACACATGCCAGAACATGATATTTTCTAAATAGTCAATTCAGATAATTAATTAAAGAGTGAAATAGACTGACAATTTTAAATTATTTAGTGTTTATTTAATAACATAGAAATGAGCTTGTTGAAATTGTGAATTAATGGATTTGTAAATAGAATTATGTAAACAATAGTAGCTATGTACTAATAAAAGTAAGTAAAACATACGATTTAGAAAGTATTTACATGTTCTTGTAATTAATGATTATGATATCATGAATCTTTCCAAAAATCTAATTAGGTCTGAATGAGTTTAATCTAACAGTAACTTCAAATTTTGGAAGTATGATATAATAAATTTCTAGAATTTTGTACTCACTGAATCAATATTAAATTGAAATAGAGATTATTATAAAAATCATTCGAATGAACAACAAGTGCAAATTAGTGTTTGTTCGTATATTCTAAATATGTACCCGAAGAAAGTATGGTATAATTAAATTCAATCGAATAGAGAAATCGTATAAAATCATTGTACCAAATATTTGGATATTTTAGTAGGATATTAAGATTCTTGAAGAGTTGAATTTAAATATTGTGACTCCTGTTCAATGAAGGAAATAATACAGTTGAAACTGACGATAAAGACATACATTCAGCGAGGATTATTCAAGAAATTTGTATATCAAACATCTTATCCTCAAGTTATAAATCTATAAATTCTAATCCAGTAACTAAATCAATAATCTGTCAAAAGTATAATTCAATACTAAAAACATTTGTTTCAATATTCAATAGAATTCTATTATTCTAAGTTATGGGGATATTTTAACAGTCCCAATCAAACTAGAGGGTTAAGTTTTTTACTGAGGTAAATTTACTTAGATCCTTCTATAAACATTTTGTCACAAATTATTTTACATTTAAAATAATGTTGAAATCACAGAGTTCACTAGATTTTTAAGTGTTATGAGTAATGGCTTGTTGATCAACATATTTTCAAATATACTTTGACTTAATTAGGTCATTTTTAAAGATGGAGAACAGTTGATATGAAAGTTTCGTCCGTTTCTGAGAAGGCAATAGTCATCAGTATTGAAAATAGATAGCTATTTCGTTTTATTGCTAATTGGACTAGATTGAAGCTGTGGATCATGGGATACTTAAGTAATGATTGATTAGCATCATTTTCTCCATGAAACTTGAAAAAGACTGAGTTAAATAGGTGAAAGACTAGTAAATGCATGCTTCTAATTAACTCCAAACTAGAACTGGTTTTCAGTAGTTCTTCAAGCTTATAACAGTTAACAAATAAAAATTCTCTTTAGATATTCTTCTGTGAGTAACCAAGTTAACATCAGCAGCTTATAATACATATCTTCATTAGTATAGAGATAAGTTCCATGATGCGAAACCCATTTGTCATACATTCATGTCAAACAAACAAATTTTAGATTTAAAGGAACTAATAAAAGCCTTTATTATGATGAAAGAAGTCATATACCATGTATATGAATTTTAACGGGTGAGGATAAGCTTCACTTTCATTATCAATTTCGACCTTGCACCTGATGACTGACCAAAATGAAGCCGGAATTATTATTTACACTACCGTAATCCATGATGGTGAAGATGATTTGTTACCTATCGTTTTTTATGGCTTACATGAAAATTGTAAAGTTTTCTGTTATAACGCGAAGTCCGCCTATTAGAGAGCAGCGAATTATCGATCGGACTAAAGACACGTGAAACACATAAGAGCAACCTAGAGTTCTGATTGGCCCTGCTCCCCTATCTAGCCCAGCCAGTTTAGTCCAGAACGCAAGTCTCAGCCTCAGTGATATGAATCGAATCGAACCTAATCGGACCAAATCATTTATTTCAGACATACTCGGTTTATATATCAATCAGGCAGACCACAACGTACCATAAAATAGAAAATAACATATGTACACAAATAAGCCAAAAAGTGGCTGTGAATGTGGGAGAAAGTAATTAATAAACTGAGCATAATTTAGGGACAGTACATCGTACAATGATAAATTATAGATCAAAGTGAAGCTTATAATGAGAGGAATATAAATATACATAATCTAACTATTGAATAGTTATACCATAAGAATACATAGATAATATTAGTCAATTAACGTTTCAGAAGTTACTCGTGATTTAATCTTTGCTCGGATATAACATTTTCCACAACAAAAATACTACTACATCATACTACTGATGTGCCAAGTTTATGGTAGTCATTCATGATGGAAGAAGAATCACAACATTGCTAAAAACATACCTTCAATGAGTTCCATTGTAAAAATTATTTTAAAACACCTACAATTGAGTGACTATATAAACGAAAACATAACCACTGTTACTGATTACAATACGCTTAGATGACTTGAAAATGTGGAGTTTATCCCTAGCCATTTTAACTCATCTTCAAGTGTAGATTCCCTATCATCACATAACACTTATGTGTAACCTAATGAAATTTATAAAATCAAAACACGTATTTGTGAGAGAAAAAAATGAATCACAATTCTACTTGACAGTGATACAATTAAACTGAATTCAGTTATGAAATGTTAGTGTAATATTCTAGCACATTGTGGTTATTAATTAGTTATGCTCATTTTTATTTAATTTTGTAAAAATATTTTTATATACTTTCTTTGTTTTCAATGTGCAATTCAGATCAGTCAGTCATACAAACTAATATTAGAAATGATCCGTTTATATTAAAGTTAATTGCTAATTATTATCCATCTATTAATTATCAATTAGGATGACTAATATATGATATAATACACTCTTTATGTTACTTACTAGTATTGCAGTAATTACTGCAAGTACTAAATACTATTCTTTTTCAAATTAAGAAGATAACTGTTATTACTATTAGGAATGATTTAAACATTAACATCCAGGAAGAATCATTTTGAGGGGAGGGGGTAAATATTTAGTTCAACCTTAGGACTCCTTTGTAGTGTGTACGCATAAGAAATCAAGTAAGATTATCGAATTCACCATGTATTTCTAATCGTTCAGTAGTTGATGCCAGTTTATAATGAATATTACACTCATAGTATACAAAATCTTTACAAAACTATCTGGGATCAAAATGTTTTCTTAAAAAATAGTTAAACTCATACATACATACATTCACATAGATTGATAAGTTCTGAAGGAAAATATATGACTGACTAATATCAACTGCTTACTTATATTTAATCATAAATAAACATCATAAACTTGATATTTATTGAAGGAACCAAGCGAACTAACTGACAACATTTAATAAAAACTAATAATAATAATAATGTATGAATAGACTACTAAGACCCATTTTATATGAACACCTTTCAGGTAGATACATATATGTCTTAACTCGGTAATTCTTTCCCAACGAAGTAATTATTGTAATGTGTTCCAAGTAATTTTTAGGTATAGGGAATCGATTATAGAGGAGATAAAATTACTTACATCTATTATCCCGTCTGTAAAAGTGAAATAATTTATATCAAAAAGATTGTAGTTTGAAAGTTTATTTCATAGCTTATAAATATCACACATATGTTATGACAAAATAATGTAAAAGAATAAACTGAAATATTTAGGTTATATATTTTCTAATTGAATTGAATAATAATGAATTCATGTACGATTATAAAGAGCTTTTAAAAAGAAAATCATTGTAATTCTAAATATTGTAGAGTTCTCTAATGGTAACATTTCAATACTTAGTAATAATGTCCATCTTGAGAACATGAGAAACGAACACATTGAAATTGATCTTACTTCCAGGTTTTTCATGGAGGTCTAGCCTCAACTGACTCATGAGTTCAACTATTAGATTACAATTTGAATGAATTTTTTAACAAAAATTTGTTTTGATATTCTATATTTGATGAAGATAATTCTTTATTATTATAATATAACTTATAGTATCCAATTATTACTGTTATTCTTATACATTTTAGTACGTTTTGTAGATTATAGATTAATGAGTGTTAGTGGTCAATGTTTAATATAGAACACAATGTGTGGTGTGTGCTACTTATATCGACATGAGTAGTACGTAATTATAGTCAGGATTAAAATGTCTGGCAGCAGAAGGTCGAAAAGGAAAAAATGGGAACAAAAAGCAATTGGTATGAAAATGCAGGAACAATGAAGTCTGAGACGACTGACTGATATTTTGCAAATTATGTATCTACTATATGGTTCGGAAGTTTTACTAAGATGTTTTTTAATTTTTGTTCAAGTACATTCGATTGTTCCCCACTTACGTTATCTTTCACAACACAATGGAGTAAAAGAACATATGTGTAAGAAATATACTATGATTAATGACATACAACTTTTATTTATGACGCTAACATTGATCATTATTTGAACAATGTTATTTTTAGTCAAATAATTTATATTACTTATATACTGTCATAATTTCAATTTAAATCTATTTGAATATTATTTGAATAAGTGAACAAAAAAACAATGTGGTTAGCTTTATTTTATTATGATTATTTTTTAAAAGATGAAACATTATAAATGAATAGCCTTTTGTAAAATATTGACCTTTGAACTGATATCCTACTTATATTATGTTACATTGCTTTAGACAGTTAACCTTTTATTTAACTAACCCCTATATTTCTCATAAAAATGATTATAATTAATTTTTAATTGTTACTTTCATTTCATACTTGACTCCACCCACTTTTTTTGGTAACTTCTATCGGTTTTGTTTCTAAGTATAAAGAATAAAAATGAAATCATTTCATTTGTTATATATTGTATAGTCATTTATATAATGCGATTATTCGGTAACCTTTTTCTATGATTAGAATTTACAGACAAATATCATCTATAAATTGGTTTCAATTGACAATATTTAA